GCCCCCGGAACGCCCTCCGGCGCCCTGGCCTCCCCCGCCGGGCGGGAGCTTCCCACGCCCGGGGGACTCCGGGCCGCCCGCCGTTCTCGCGCCCCCCGGCCTTTGCTGCGCCCCCCGGCCTGATGCGGGCGAGCGGGTCGGAGGAGGCTGATGCCCGGCCGGGGCTGGGACGAGCCGGGGGGGGGGCGGTCCGGCTCCCGTCGCCTCTGACCAAGCGCGAGCGGCCGGGCCGAGCTCGGGGAGGTCGAGGGCGGCCGAATAACGGGCCGGGGCTCTTCCGGGCGGCGCAAATCTCTGCGAAAAACGGATGGCCAGAGGCCGGGCGCGCCTGCGGCTCCCGGAGAGAAAAATGCCCGCGGCATCTGGCCGGCCCCGGGGTGAGCCAAAGCGTTTGTGCGCGATCTCTTCCAGGCCTTTTCTAGACAGCCCCGGAGGCCATTCGGGCCCCCGCTGCCCGGTGCAGAGAAGGGCGTCCGGACTTCCAGGGCAGCTGCCTCCTCGGCCGCCGCTCCAGCCCGGAGCTGCTCCGACCTCGGCTTCCCCCCCCCCCCGGGCCGTCTTTTAGTCCTCCGGAGCCCCCGCAAGTATTACCCAGCTGGCCCGCGGCGAAAGAGCCTCCCAATCAAATACGTGGGGGGGGGCAAGGGGGGCTTATTTGCTGAGAGGAAGTTTCACCTCTGCCAAAGGAGGGCTGACCCAGCATAGGGTTCTGACAAGATTGCCATAGACTGCCTAATCTACAAGTCCTCATTGAGAAACAGCTGGCTCTGGTCCAGCTCACCTTGAAGGGCAACTATTGTGCATCACTGCTGTTCCCACACTCACATACTGGCTCAAGATACACCCAAGAACCTGTGATGGGGCTCCTTTTGCTCTTCTGCTCTTCTTCAGTGCAAAAGGATTCCCTGGACAAGAGCTGCTCTCTCTGGCAGGGCTGCCGAGGAAGATGGCAGATACAACACCGTTGTGCCTTTCATAAAGATCTGAGGGCCGATTCAGTCCGGTTCATTTGGGAAAGAAGAGAAACGGCATGCTTGTTTTGTTTGCCCTACTTCGCGCACACCTTAGTTCACTTTTGTTCAATTGCTATGCACACTGAACACTCCTAGATTGAACTACCAACCGTGCACTCTTCCAAATGCTTTTTAATCCCATGTATACAGATAGTCCTCGACTTACAATAGTTCATGTCTTGTTTGAAGTTACAATGGCACTGAAAAAAGTGACATTACCATTTTTCACACTTAACCACCGTCGCAGCCTCCCCTCCTGCAGTGTCTCCAGCAAGACTCACGAATCACAGAACGGAGGGACCATTCTATTTTTAAAGAGCAAGTATACCGTAATCAGGTTTTCTTTTTTAGCCAGCTTTTGCAGAGGGTGTGATTGGCCCATGCTGCCTTCCATGTCTTAGGGAGAACTAGAAATCAGGCCTCTCTGCTGTCTGAGTTGCTGTTCTTCAGACGTGTCAGACTGATCTCCACAATTTCTAGTTGGTACCAGCCAGGGAGGGAGCTGGGCCAGCACACTGGGAAGGTCACCAGGTGTACTAACATGTGGGACACGCCTTGGGAGACAGGAAGAGAGGCTGCCCGGAGAACTGCCAGATAAGAGACAGCTTAGTCCACAGCTGCATGGGGGGGGAGAGGCTGAAGAGAGACCCTCCCCAGTTTCTCAGACAGTAAAGGTGATGGCAGAATTGTACTTTCAAACTTGCAAGGTTCTATTAATGTAACTTTACAATAAAGAAGAATCAACTTATCCGTTGTGTTTCCTTTCTGGTTTACCTGGTAAGGTTGACACCAGGATGGAGAAGGTGAATTTATTCTGAATAAGGGAGCTACAAACCACCGCATACAATTTTAGACTTTGATTTTCATTGACTTCTTTCGGTAGCTTTGTTCTGTTACATCCAATGGGCTTTGATAGTTCCCCGGCTTGTTTAAATAGCCTCTAGAAATTCAACCCGAGGACATAAATTGAGTAATCTCAATTCCGTAGGAAACCAAATCCCTAGTGTACACCATCAACAGGAATAAAGCAAAGTTGAAACTATTTTTTTTAAAACATGGAACATACTCAAGACAAACTTGTAAGACGATACAAATACAGAGACCATCACAATCCACCCATATTACCGTGTATCTGTGCAACTAGAGCAGGGGTAAGCAACCTTGGCTCTTTTATGACTCGTGGACTTCAACTCCCAGAATTCCTGAGCCAGCTATGCTGGCTCAGGAATTCTGGGAGTTGAAGTCCACGAGTCATAAAAGAGCCAAGGTTGCCTACCCCTGAACTAGAGGCATCCTGGACTGAAGTGGGGCAAAAAACTGAAGAATTATGGCTCATTGCTGACTCAGTGTTCACAATACAAACACCACCAGAAGGGGGATCCCGCAAGGGGCCAATTTCCCCCACCCACCAAGTCCAGAATGCGGACATTCCCAGAAACCTTCATTGCCTTTGCAATGCACAAGTGGAAAGTGGAGTTCTATTAACTTTGGCCTGACAGGCTCGTTCCAGGCCCTTTGCTGGGGAGCACCAGAGGTCCCAGCTCAGCCACCAGTGAAGATGCTGGAGCTCTACTCAACGGCACCTGAGGCCGCCGGTCCCCACCTAGGGCTCCGGAGTACAATCAGCTTCCCTCTCCTATTTCTTCCTCTCTTCCTTAGAGGTATGAACTACATCATTTCAGCTGGTTGTTTTAAAGGCCCTGGTCAACAAGCAGTATCTCATCCGTGGTAGCTTGCACTGCGGGCACGGGACCAGCCACAGCACCCGTCGGCTTTGGGCCCAGTAAATGAAGGCAATAGTCAAGCAGCAAAATATCTTGGCATTTCAGTTGGAGATGCTGAGAAACGAACTTCAGGCTTTCTGCTCCACCATCAGCAAGTCCCGCCGTGAAGCCTTGCCAGGGACACACAGCACAAGACAGAAGGGCCCCTTTTGGTTCAAGCACAAAGCGCGTCAGTGCCTGGTGCGCTGCAATTCCCAAGGTTGTTATTCCAGAGATTTGTAAACTTTTTATCTGCACCTGACTTGAGGCAGAGCAGAAGCGCCCATTTAAGTTGGTGTTCTGCATTTCTAAGTTAGGATTAAAGATCAGAATAACGAGGGAGGGAGGGAAACTTGTCCCCCCCAATCTTTTCTGGATCCAAAGGGTATCTCAAGGAAAAAGCAGCAGCAAGGAGGAAAGAGAGAGGCCGCACCAGGTGAGCAGAGACGCACAGTTGCAAAAGGCACCCCACCTTTCGAAGGGGTCCCACTCTTGAACCTGGACCCCTTTGAAATAAATCGTGCACAGCAACGACTATTGAAAAAGACTTTTCGGAATGATGGGAGTCCATCTGTGGTCACCCGAAGAGAATTACTTTCATTTATATATATAAAAAACCCTAACCTCATGCAATTTTAGGTAACCGTGTGAGTCCCTCAGCAAGACCACCCATTCATAATAAGGAAAAGAGATTCCCAACTGCACCCCAGCCCCCCCTTTGTCCCCCCCCCGGTACTGCTACATCAGTGCTTCTTGATGGAGGCCCTGCTCATGGTCAGGGTCGGCCTCCTCATCCTCGGGCGGATCTTTTTCGTCCCCGGATTCGACGTAGATGGGCCACTCGTTGTCCGGGTCGCTCTTCCCCGGCCCTCCGGAGGAAGGCTCCATGAGGCGGAGGTGGATGGGCAGTGAATCCTCTTGCGTGGTGGTGACGCACGTGCAGCTGTCGCAGAGGCCAAAGCGACGCAAGCCTTGAGTCAGGCTGCTGGTGAATGTTCGCCGGCAGCCTTTGCAGACAATGGGCTTGCTGGACCGATGGACCTGGAGACCCAAGGAAGAAGCCGGGTGGTCAGCAACAGGGGCGGCTGTGGCCAGGAGGGCCTTTGCGCACAACTTTGGATTGTGCACTGGTTAGGCCCATTCCTGGACCAACATCTCCTTCTCACAAACAACCACGCCCTGGTCACTGCCCGTTTGGGCTTCTGTAACGCACTCTACATGGGGCTGCCCCCGAAGAGCCTTCAGAACAAGCCTGGACTCGTGCGTGGGTGGCCTCCTTTGAGAGAGCCACCCTGGCTGCCAATTCAAGGTGCTGGTCATCCACTTCAAGGCGCTGTGTGGCCTGGGGCCAGGCTACTCGAAGGGTCACCTTTAATGGCCCCTCTTCCATCCACCAGGCCCACCAGGACAGGAAGGCAGGGCCCGTTGCGGAATTATCTGGTGGGACCACGAAAAAGGGCCTTCTTGGGGGTGGCCCCTTCCTTATGGACATCCTTCCCCCAGAAACACCATTGGCCCCCACACTGCTGAACGGAGATGGAGCAAGGCTGATTTGATTACGTTGCTGCTGCCACGGTTGGGGGGTGGGGGGAGGAATAGGTTTGTATGTTGTGGGTATTAATGTTGTGAGCTGCCCAGAGTCACCAGTGTGTGGAGTTGGGCAGCCATATAGATTTGTACCACGAGCAAACAAACGACGTGGCTGATGCCCCCAACTCTGCCTCTCGTCTGTACCGGCCCAAGTCCTGCCCAGCCCCTTTCCAAAACCTCCTGACTTCCACAAATGGGTCATCTGCAGCAATGGGGATGCACGGCTTCCCCGGGGGAGGGGGGGGCGGCCGGCGTGCCACTTACACTCAAGGCGTGGCTCCGGAGGTGCTCCTGGCGCGTAAAGCGCTTGCCGCAGACTTCGCAGGGGTAGGGCCTCTCGCCGGTGTGGGACCGGATGTGGCGCTTGAGGATGCCCTTCTGCTTTGCCGTGTAGGGGCAAAACGGGCACTTGTGCAGCTTGATGGGCACCACGAGAACATCACCTTTGGGGGAGGGAGAAACAGCATTGGGGACTGTTTCAAAGGGGGTCCGAGTTTCAAAAGAGGGGACTTAAAAATAACAGTGCAAACATTCGGGAGGGGGAAGAGAATTCCACTGCTCTCTGCTTGCTACAGGTTTGTTTTTTTAAAAAATATATATATATATGCAGACTTCACTGTGGCAGCTGTTGCAACCAAGCAATGAATGGAAGGAGCCCAGGAAAGCGCAGTGCCCTTGGCACAATGTTGTGTTTCAGCAGGAATGGTGTCTGGATCACGTACGGAAAAAGAATAGCGATGGGATGTGATCGTTCCCTGGGCTGGATATCTTGGCCAAATCTCCCTACATGACAAGTTAGAAAGAAATCTCTCCCCCCCCCCAAGCTTTTAGGGCATGGAATGATGGCCTTAGGTTACAGGAAGATAAATTCTGCTTGAATGTTAAAAAACAAAACTCATAGGAGGAAGAGAAGTTTGATGGTATAGCCCAGGGGTAGTCAACCTTGGCTCTTTTATGACTCATGGACTTCAACTCCCAGAATTCCTGAGCCAGCTTAGCTGGCTCAGGAATTCTGGGAGTTGAAGTCCACGAGTCATAAAAGAGCCAAGGTTGACTACCCCTGGTATAACCTATGGCCAGGAGTTGTCCGGAGTCATTTTTTGTGAGCTATTTCATTTGCTAAATAAGTAAGTAAAAAATAAATAAATGGATGACCCTTTTCCTGGATGGATTCAAGCAGAAGCTGGGCAGCCATCTGTCAGGAATGATGTCAGCTGCACTGAGCAAGAGGGTGGACCCACTGACCTCAAAGGGTCTCTTCCAACTCTGGCACTCTCTATTCTGCCTTCCGCCTCTCCAGCTTTGCATTATTTTGGCCTGCTGCTCCACGTGTAGCCCAGCCTTTCGTTCTGCCCCAGAGCATCTTGCAGAAGGCCATTAGTGGCATATCAGCAGCCAACGGTAGCAGCGGGATGAAGACGTGCTCCAAATTGCCCGATTTGGCCCCCACGGGCGACACGCCAAAGCCTGCCCTGAATGCTGCTTCTTTTGACCATCTGGCTGGATTCATATTGTGTCAGAGGCCGGCTGGGAAGGCCACCAACAGCAACCCCAGAATGCCAGGATGCTGCAGCTGCCTGTTCAATACACACCTGTGTGGCCCCTGAATTCTGACCAAAGCCCCCCGGGACTGCTGTGAGAGTCATTAAGTGTGAGGATCGGTTGCAAGTCACTTTTTTCCAGTGCTGTTGCAACTTCAGTCGCTAAACGAACGGTCCTGCGTCAAGGGCATCCTTTATTGAATACCTGTTGAATTCTACACCTCTCCAGAAGCTTCAGATTGTGGAATGAAGATCCATTCCTTTGGAAACCCAGCTATTTGGATGCACCTTATTACCTCAGTTCTGCCCAGGAATGGAACTCCTTGAAACGACCGGAGCAGAAAACGACCCCCCTGCAGGGACAGAAGCTGCCTCAGACTCGCCTTACCTGTGTCCTCTCCATACCAGTCACTGTGAATGTCCATCATGGAGCTCATGGGCAGGCCGGCATCTTCCGACCGGCCCTCAAAGCCACGCACAAAAGGGTGGACCACCTCGTCTTTCCTTTGGGAGGCGCTGTTGCGCAGCAAGGCTTCGAGAACCTGCTTCATGTGGTAGCTGCTGCAGGCCAGGTCCATGGCCTGCCCCCTGTGAAGCCCCTCTTCCATCTGCTCGATCGTCAAGGGAGTGGGGTACTGCTGCAGCCGCTCCCCAACTTCCACCTCGTCCACATCAAACTCGACCTTTGGCTCAATCGCCTTGGGTGCCAAGAAGCCGGTGTCGTCCGGAGACTCGCGGCCAGCAGGGTCCCTGGCCAGGAGGTCCAGGTGAGGATGGAAGCTGCTGCAGTCCCCACAGGGAGGAGGCCCTTGTGGGCAGTCCGGGACACCTTCCTTGTCCTGCAGAGAGGAAGCGGAGGCTGAGCCCTGGGCCTTGGCACCGCAGGATGGGCCTTGGCGGGCAGAGCTAGTGGGGCTCCTGCTGTCCGCCTGGTAGAAGGCAGCTTCTCGCTCGATCTTCCTGCAGATGTCCAATGACGACCGGATGTACGTCTTGCAGAAGTTGACCACGTCAGTCATCTGCAAGTAGCTGGCGGCGGACATGACCTCAATCACATTTTCCCCACAAAGGTCCAGCTTACCTGAATAAAGAAAGTCCAGGATAATGGAGAAGGCCTCTGAGGTCACAATGTCCAGGGAAGCTGTGCTGTGCCGGCCACTGTCCTGAATGTAGTGGATCAACAGAGCTCGGAAGTAGCCGCTGTTGGCAAAGAGAATGTTCTTGTGGGCCTTGAAAATCCTCCCTTCCACTATGATGCTGCAGTCGCAAAAGAAGTCCCTCTTCCGCTGCTCGTTCAGCTCACTCAGGAGTTTGGCATAGTAAGACTGCATCTCCATGGCTCCAGGGGTCAGGGGGCCCTGCAAGGGAAAGGAGGACCAAGCGAGGTCACGCAGCTCCAGGGCAGAGAGGCAGGCCCAGACCACCTCCAGAGCACATCTGGCAGCCCCTCTGGAGGGCTTCAAAGGGCCGTGGATGGAGAAGCCGCAGTGAGAATCCTACATCTTCAGGAGCCTTTTTCCTCTCTCACCTCTGTGCTCTGTCTCGTCCAGGCTTTCTCAGCCTTGGCCATTTTAAGACATGTGGACTTCATTTCCCAGGATACCCCAGCATCGAGTGCTAGCTGTGGAATTCTAGGAGTTGAAGTTTATACATCTCAAAATGTCCCAGGTTGAGAAACACTAATCTAGTTTATCACACCTGGATGGCCCTGGCTGGCACGCAGGCATCAAGTTGACTTAAGAGTTCCCAGTAAGCTGCACCCAAACTTTGGCTTATTTCTGGGTAACCCAATGACTGATGCAGAAACTCCCAGAGCTTCGGGGGTGGGGGGTGGGTTGGGGCGAAGGGAGAGGAGGCAAGCAGGAACAGGAATGCCATTCCCCTCCCTCCTTCTGCTTCCACCTTCTTGCTCTCTCCTGCTAAGTGATTCTTTCTAGACCGAGTGTGAGACTTTGCAGAATTGTGCCTTTCACACCCCCCCCCCCAAAAAAACCTCCATGGGGGACCAGTCAGCCCTAGGAACAAAAACTCCCCACGCTGCCAGAAAGGAAAACACAAGCCAGCGTTTGGACCCTGGCACTCCAATCCTTGCCTCTGCTGTTATCCAGGCCATTTTTACGCTCAGAACATCCCTCCCTCTCTCCAAGCAATCGCAGGCAAAGCGCTTTCTCCTCCAACTGGATTCCTTTTCCTAACTAAGGCAACAGCCAGGATTTGCCTCTGTCGGCAACTGCCAGAACTCTACCAGATCAAAGGTGCCCCATTGTGCAGGCGAGGAAGGCAAGGCAATTCAGCCTCCCTCCCGGGTCTCAGCCGAGCTTTGTAAATGCACTCCTTGCTAAAATATTATAGCCACACAGGTGATGGTTTCCTCCTTCGGGTTGGAACTGGAAGTCCTTGAGTTCCTTGTACCGGGAAGCAAAAGCTGGGATGGGACCAGGGGATCCCCATAGATCCCACTCCTGCTTCCTCTCCAAGGGCAGATTTGGTGAGCCATTCAACAACACACAAAACAGGATGGCAGATGCTTATCACTCTTCCTTTCTCTAAATAAACGATTCAGAAACTGAGTCCCCGTTCATCTGGGTTAGTGGCAGAATATGAGTTAGATATTCAGCATTGGAGATTTGCAGCCAGGGCTCAATCGCAAGTCCAGAGGGATGAAGTTCCTCTGAAGAAGCAGCAGCAGCTCTTCCTAGGGCAGGGGTAGGCAACCTCGGCTCTTTTATGACACATGGACTTCAACTCCCAGAATTCCCGAGTCAGCTATGTTGACTCGGGAATTCTGGGAGTTGAAGTCCATGAGTCATAAAAGAGCCGAGGTTGCCTACCCTTGTCCTAGGGTAAACAGCTGCATTCCTACCGCAGACTGAAGCCCAAGCCCTCCCAAACCCCGAGGGGTCCTTGGGGCTCTCGGAGCTTTACTGGCATTCAACCACCTCCCCGCTGGGCGATCAGCGCGGGGGCTCCGCGGTGGGACCGCAGCCTCTGCTCCCCCCCGGGCTGATCACCCGCGGACTAAGCCCCCTCCCGGGGGTGTTTTCGGCCCCGGGGGGCGGGAGGGCAGCCGGGGACCGTCCAGCCCGGCCCGCGGGGAAGCGGCGAGGGGCGCGGCGGGGCGAAGCCAAAGGGGGGCTTCCCTGCCGACGCGGCCATCCGAGGCGCCCCTCCGCGCCGAGCAGCCCCGCCCGCTGCCTTCCTCCGGCGCTGCCCGCTTGCCAGGCGCGGCGCCGGCCCCGCAGAGGACCCTCGGAGGTCTGCTAGTCCGACCCCAGCCGAGGCACGAGACCCTCCGCCGTCCCGGCGATGCAGCGCTCGCAGGCGCGGAGGGGGGGGGAGGCCGGCCTGGAGGTGGAGTCACCCCGCCCCGGCAGCCTCCGGAGGGAGGGCAGGAGCCGCCCCGGGCCGCCCGCAGCGCGCCCCTCCCGCCGGCCTCCCCGCTAAGCAGCGCAGCCGCGCCCGGCAGCCTCACCTGCCTCGCCTCGCCCGCCGCGGCGGCNCCCGCCCGCCCGCCCGGCTTCTGCGGGGCTGCCGAGAAGTGCCGTTTCCTCGGCCAAGGGCTGGAGGCGGACTTTGAGGAGGGGGAGTGGGGCGGGGGGATCTTGGCAGAAGAGGGCCAGCCGTGCGTCCATCCTAGCGACTCCGCCTTAATTGCGCCGGGTCAGCGCGTCTTTGGGTGCAGGGAGCTTCAAGGTCCGGCACTTTAACATCTTTAGTTCTGGATGGGGTTGCGCTACCCCAGACAGACATGGTCCGCGTCTTGTGGGTTCCACAAGTCAAAGAGCAGGTGACAGTTGTGGCTAGCGGAGTCTTTGCACAACTCTGGGTTGTGCGCCAGTTGTAGCCGCTCCTGAATCAGGAGTCCCTCATTCAAGCCCTGGTCATCTCATGGCTGGACTACTGCAATGTCATCTATGCGGGGCTACCCTTGAGGAGCATTCAGAAGCTACAATTGGTGCATTGTGCAGTGGCACAGGCAGTCTTTTGGGGCCCTAGTTGCATTGGCTGCTGATTTGCTTCCAGGTGCAATTCAAGGTGTTGGTCACCATCTTTAAAGCCTGCCTGGCATGAGGAACTGTCTCACCCCAATGGGTCTGGCCCACCCCACCTGTGCCTGCAAAAGGGCCATGCTCTGGACCCCATCAGTCAAGGAATTTTGGTTGGCATGGTCCAGAAGAATCACCTCTGCCATGGCCCTGGAACGAGGTGAGATCGGCTCCCATCCTCCTGGCCTTGAAGACCAGCTTTGCCACTTGGCCTGGGACCCCCATGGGGAAATTTCACACTGGAGGTGGTTGATCGATTAACATCAGTTCCCACCTAATCACACACACACACACACACACCCCCGGCAGTATATTCTCCTCCCTTCCTCCCCATCTTTAATTATAGCTTGTATGTTATTGTAATGTATTTTATATATTTATGTTTTCATTTTAATATTGTAAGCCAACAGAAAATAAATACTTGGCAAAATATATTTTTCTAGGATCCTTTTTCACCCAAAGTGTTAATACCACTTTATAATGCACTCATAACACCACACCTGCAATACTGCTTCCAGTTTGGATCACCACAATATAAAAAAGATATTGAGACTCTGGAAAGACTGCAGAGAAGAGCAACAAAGATGATTAGGAGACTGGAGGCTAAAATAAATACTAAAAATGGTTGCACAAATTGGGCATGTCTAGTCTAGAGAAAAGCACTATGGGCAATATAATAGCAGTGTTTGAAGGGCTACCAGAAAAAAGAGAGGGTCAACTTATTTCCCAAAGCACCACAACACAAGACAAGAAACAATGGATAGAAACTAATCAAGGAGAGAAGCAACCTGGAACTAAGGAGAAACTTCCTGATGGTGAGAATAATTAACCAGTGGAACAGCTTGCCTCCAGAAGTTGTGGCTGCTCCAACACTGGACGCTTTTAAGAAGAGACTGGACAGTCATTTGTCTGTAATGGTACAGAACCTCCTCTTTGTGCAGAGGTTGGATTAGAGCCATACTGGCTCAGGAATTCTGGGAGTTGAAGTCCACGAGTCATAAAAGAGCCAAGGTTGCCTACCCCTGTACTATTCTCTTATTTCCAGGTGGTCTCCTGTCCGGGAACAACTGACACGCGACTATCGACTTACAGAAAGGCAGCTCTAGAATGCCATAAATTTCTAGGGTTTCCCCCCCCCTTTCCGCGGGGGGGGGCAGTCGTCCCCTTCCCATTTCACCCTTTATTCTCTCGGAAACTGCCAAGCCAGGGAAAAAAAATTCTAAAAGAGTTTCGACCATATAATTTGATCCTCGGCAACCGCCGTAGCCACAACTCCCAACCGACCCGGAAAAGACCATCGAGCTCTTCTAAAGACAGAAGCCGTTCCCTGCGCTGGCTTCCGGTTCCTGATAGAGAAACGGGTGGGAACCTTTTGCGAGAACAGCGTGGACGGAGAGTGTCTGGAAAAGACGGGCCGCTTCTGCTTCGAATTCAATGAAGGGCGTCCGCGCCGTTCAGAATCCTCGGTGGTTCCTTTTCTTTACCTCGGGTGGTAAAAGAGGCGCCCGGAAGCGTCTTTGTGGCCGGAAGCTGCGGCTATTGCGCCTCGGAGGGGCGGGGCTTCAGCGGCGTGTCAAAGGTCAGTAAATATTGGTGACGTCAGGAGACCAAGATGGCGGAAGGGTGAGCTTCAGCGAGAGCGCTGGGGGCGGCGCCGCTGCGAAGGGGCCGGGCGGGGGAAGGAGCGAGGGCTTTCTGGGCATGTGAAGAGCGCTCGGCCCTTCCTTTGCGGGATCTTCGCGGCCTGGTTGCGGAAATGAGGCGGTGGCGCTGCTGGGAGAGCCGGAAGATGAGCTGCGAGGCTCCTCTGGGGAGAGGCGGGGGGCCGGGGTGAGGAGGGGGGCCTGGGGAGGCGGGCTTGGCGGGGGTGGGACAGACGCTGAGGAGGGCCGCCCGGCCTGTGGCGGCGCCCGGAGGGTCCCGGAGCAGCCTGGAGAGCCACGCTGGGCAGCCAGACCTCCCCGGCAGGCCGTCTGGTAGTCGGGAAGAGCGGGGTGGGTGGGAAGAGTCCAGTCCTCTTGGCTGGCTGTTTTGCGTTGAAAGCTCGTAGGAGCCGGAAACGGTTCTTAAGTCGTAAAGTTCGGACATCAGCTCCTTTCTGATACATGGCAGATTGAAGTTAAATGTTGCCTTTGCTAAAGCAGCGTTTCTCAACCGGAGCCAGGCTGGGGGATTCTGGGAGTTGAAGTCCCCACCCCCATCTTAAAGTGGCCGAGGTTGAGAAACTTTGGGTTAGAGCAGGGGTAGGCAACCTTGGCTCTTTTATGACTCGTGGACCAACTCCCAGAATGCCTACCCCTGGGTTAGAGGCTTACTGGACTCACCAGCCCCTAACCCAGGGGTGGGGAACCTTGGCCCCTTTATGATTTGTGGACTTCAATTCCCAACTGGCTGGCTCAGGAATTCTGGGAGTTGAAGTCCACAAGTCATAAAAGGGCCAAGGTTCCCCACCCCTGGGTTAGCAGCTGGTGAGTCCAGTAAACCTACATTCTCTTTCTGCCACCCAGACTAAATTATATGCTTAAGTATGGGCTCACAGCCTAATTTTCTTCCGTGCTACTAGAAGAATTGATGTTTATTTTGTTTGTTGCTTTTTTTACATATGGCAAATTCAGGAAGCTTGAATTTGATGCCAAAACTAGAGTCGTACCTTATAGTACACAGTCAATATCACTGTGGACATTTGTATTGTCATCATCTTTGAATATTATTAGTTGATGTCCTGGTTTTCATAACTGTGCCCTTCAATTCTAATAGGGTTTATTTAGAAGCAAATCTCATTGGGATCACTCGGTTTGTTACCCATTAAAAGAAAAAGTAATGTTTTAATATCTGCTAATATATTTAAGTTTTTTTTTAAAAATCAAACATTATACCAAATAATAATGATTGCAAAATTAATTCATACAAGGTCCTGGTGTATTGATTAGTTTAGGATTGTTGAAAGTGTTCCAGTTGACAGGATTTAAGTAATCCACCAAATGTTAAAACAGAGTTAGAAACTATTTAGCTTTATATGTTTGTCCTGTAACAGGGAAGATGGAGGCTGGTGGAGGAGCTGGCTACAGCAAAGCCTTCAAACGGTCAGAGAGAAGGTAGGCAGAATTTTTGGAATTACACAAATAAAGAGCAATGGCCTAAAGGAGCAACCTTGGGGGTGCTTCTTAATTTTGAGGTATATTGATTGCTTGAACTCTTTGTTGAAAACAGTATTTTTTTTAACTTTTATAACTCTGGTTTTGCAGGAAAGACTTTGCTTGTTCTTTGCATTGGAATGGGCTGAGATGGGAATCCAGACTTGAAACTGGGTCTGCTTGCAAGCTGCTTCTCCCTGCTTATCTTTTCTCCTCTCTTTTCCCCTCCACCAGACTTAGAATTAGTTTGGCGCATGAGGCAGAGTGTTGGACTTCAAACAATGAGATGCCAGTTGAAATTCCTGTTTGTTGACAAACTTGCCAGGTGGCTTTGAACAAATCACCTGCCTTTACTTCCTCTAGTACTGAAGTCTGGTTAATAATAGTGCCTTACTCATGTTTGTTATGAATCCAGTAATGACTCTAAGCTATTTTGGCTTTTAAAGGCTTCCCCCATCCATTAAGTACCATTTAAAAAGCATTCAGAACTCCATCTTGTTGCCGGTCAGATGCTTAACTTTAAAACATTAAGGTAGAACATGTTAACTTGGCTGGAAATTGTGTTCTCCATTCTGAGCATAAAACTTGGAATTGCAATATGTAAGTACAAATTAGGGACTATTATTATTAATTTGAGCGTCTATGGCGATTCTCAGTCATCCAGGTCATGGTTGTCACAAAGGTGCTTTTAAAAAAAAAACAAAAAAAAAAACCTTTGGGATATTAATTTGAGTCTTTTTCAAACTGAATGGAAAAATGTATCTGTAATTAATATATTGGAATAGAAACTCTGTGCAATAAAATGACAACTCAGCCATCAGATATCTAGCTTTGATTTTTGAAAAGATTCTGTTGTATTCTCTTACTGGTCATGCATTGGAGTGATCAGAAATTTCTGCCTTGACCTTTGCCAGATCCCTGCACCTCCTTGTTTAATTAATAGCAACCCTTTGAAATTCTGTAGAAACTCTGGCTTACCACACAAGAGTCAGTGCACCCATTCTCTCTCTCTCTGCAGTCTACAGAGGCCTTGGAGTTCATGAAACGTGATCTGACAGAATTCACCCAGGTGGTCCAACATGATACAGCTTGCACCATCGCTGCTACTGCCAGTGTGGTCAAAGAGAAGTTGGCTGTAAGTAGAAGGCTCGTTACTGAGATGAAGGGACGCATAGCAAGGGAAAATACTGGCAGAGTTTCTTTGCTTTAGTACATTTTTATCAAATAGGCTCCTTATTGCTTTGACATATAACTTGGCTCTTGATTCAGCTTTGTAGGAGGCTACCATCTCTGTTTCCCGTGGTTAATTTTTTTTTGGTTTCATTGTCTCTTTTTGTGTATGTAAAGACGGAAAGCTCTTCGGGGGCAACGGAAAAAGTGAGAAAAGGACTCTCCAACTTCTTGGGTGTTATTTCTGACACATTTGCACCCTCCCCAGATAAGACCATTGACTGTGATGTCATAACCCTGATGGCAACTCCATCTGGGACCACAGAGTTGTATGACAGTGCCAAGGTACATTGCAGCCCCCCTGACCCTAAAATGGAGCCCCTCCCCCTACGGTGAGCGCCTCTTGTTCCTATAATTTCTCCCCTCTGTTCTCTTCTAGGCTCGACTCTATAGCCTCCAGTCTGACCCGGCCACTTACTGCAACGAAGCTGATGGTAAGTGGAGAGGTAATCAGAGGCAGGGAAGACGAGAGGAGGAACCTAGATAGAATTCAGTCCTTCTGGAAAATAGGAAGCCCTCTGCAAGATAATGAGTGCAGTTCATATCATGTTTTTAGAGTTCATAAAAGCAAACCTTTCAAGAGTACAAGCTGCTGTTAGAAAAAACAAGTCTCTAGCCTTCAGGTCTACAATAGAAAGATCAAGTAGAGCCTGGGCAACAGACAGGAGGCTGGCGGGCAGGTGATCTTATAATGGGAGTCTGAGGTTCATTCAGCCACAACCGATCAAAGCATGTTTGGATGGCTACAAGCAAAGTTATTCATGGTAAAAATCTGAGAAATTTCTAAAGGAGTCATTGCAAGTGAGATCCAAGCTGCATTTGAAGTGGGGGTTTTTTTGGGGGGGGGGTGTTGCTATTTTTTTTCCTCATTGCTTTCCCTTTGCCTGATCCCAGTGTCTCCCACTTCAGTTCTCTGAATGGTTTCCTGGTTAGGAGATCGGAAAATCACAGGAAATTGGCCAGGCTGGGAGATGGATCTCGAGTGACTGTAGGGTTTGCTTGACTGTGGGTGTTTGCCAAGACTCTTCAGTTTGCTTCTTCCATCACTTCCAAGCAGGAGGGCAGAGAGGGACCACGTCCCATGTTCCCCTCTCCTGTCGCGTGGGTGGTGTTGGCGTGTGCACACTGCTCTTTAGCATTAAAGGTGATAGTGTATTGTCTGCTGTGGTAAGCCAAGCCTGCTGTCAAATTTCTCAGTAAGGAAGGCTAATGAATTGTGATGTTTTATTCTAGGAAATAAAAGATAGAGTATAATAATACATTTGTTTGCATATTGTAGTTATGGAATTCACTGTTGTCATCTTATAGTGTATTTTGATCCCTGGACAGGACATCTCTGTCTCCCATGCCTCCTCTTTCTAGCATGCTTTTTTAGAACCTTGATTTGATCCATCAGACTCTTCCTGTCTTGCCATTTAAGTCTGTAGCTTCCCCAATAAAGGAGGAGGATCAGCTTTGAGAAGAAGTCCGTGTACTTTGATCGGAAGGTAGGGTTGTGGCGTCAGGACCGTCTTTGTCAGTGAAGAAAATGAGATTTAGTTTTATGGGCTGAGGAGGCTTGTGTGATTGTGACTATTATCCTTGTTTGTCTTGGCACAGCTGTGGTGGTTTGGAGGATGTAATATTTTCTCCTGCAGGACCACCTGAGCTGTTTGAGGCCTGGCTTTTGCACTTCAGCTTGGAGGAGAAGAAAGGAGAGATATCTGAGTTGCTGGGAAACAGCCCGTCCATCCGCTCCCTCTACTCCAAGATGGTAAGCTTGGCCCCTTGACCTCCTCCGTCTTTTCTTCAAGCCAACGGAGAGGTTCGTTGTTTGAAAATATCTGTGGCATTATACTCTCCTTTAACTTGTTTACCAGGTCAGTGTGCAATCTGGAGGCTTTTGTCTCTGCAGAATATGCTGGAAAGCACTGGCATTTTCCTTGCCAAGAAGCAGCAGAATTGAGGAAGAAATTTTTTTTTTTCATCTTCTGGGTTTTGCTCTTAGAATTGCTGGAACAGTTTATTTATATGCAAATGTCTCTGTGTCCTTTGTCCATTCGTGGGTCATCCCTGGAGGAATGGATAATGCACACAGCCATAAAGGCTGGGTTGCAAGTGTGGCTCTCTTGCATCTTGGGTGAAACAAAGCCAATAATGGTTTAGGAAAGTTGACGCTTTTTCCCCTTCTGATGGCCTTAGGTGCCTGTGGCCGTCTCCCACTCGGAATTCTGGCAGCGGTACTTCTATAAAGTCCACCAGCTGGAGCAGGTGAGTTTGCAGAAACACTCCTGGTTTCAGTTAGTGCAGTCTTTGTGTCCCAAGTTGAGTATTGGGTTTATTAGCCGAACCAAAAGCAAAAGGCACTCAGGCTATACTTCTTATGCAATTTATAATTTACTGAAGTGCTGGGCACATAATAGGGAAAGACAACACGTTTGTTCCTCTCTTGCACACTTCTGGTGATATTTCAACACCCTACACTTGAGAAAATGTCTCAGGCCCTTTCACCTGGCTTTGAAGTTCTGATTATTTATCCTCAGTGTGAAATCTGCCTTCGACCTAGCTCTGTTTTCCTCTGCTTACATCACACACACACACACTCCACTGCTGCTTTTCTGTCCTGTTGGGTTTCTTGGCTGTGCCTGGTAGAAGGCCCCTCTTCTCCCCTCTTCCCTCCCCCCGCTGAAAAAGCAGGACTTTGCCCAGGGAGAATGGGTTTTGCCCGGAAGCTGCGGTTGTGTGCGTGCTCGCTCTCGCTCTTTGTCCCCCTCTGGCAGCAGAGCCAGTCGGAGCCTTGCTGACAGTTGTGCGCGTTCTCTGTCATCCCAGGAGGAGCTCCGGAGGGAGGCTCTGAAGCAGCGGGCAGAGCACAGTGTTCACTCGGAGGATCCAGGATGGGAGGAAGAGGAGGAAGGTAAGGGAGCCATAAGCTCTGGCCGTTCCCTGACAGGGCCCGGTCCTTTCGGGACTCCTGCCGGGCGGCCGCTCAGTTCCTTGCCTGTGGAAGTTCTGCCTCGTTCTTTGATCGGCAGAGAAGTCACAACGTCCCCACAGAGTTATGTGATTGGAATTTGGCAACTGCCATATATTTATGCTAGTTGCCGTGTCCTGAGGGGTCACGCAGTGGCCCTTTGCAACCTTCCAACAGTCAAAGTCAATGGGGGAAACCGGACTCGTTTAATCACCACATGATTCACTTAACAACTGCAGTCGTTCATTAACTGGCAAAAAAAGTTGTAAAATTGGGCGCAACTCAACTTGTGCCTTGCTTAAGAAAGGAAGTTCTGGTCCCAACTGGGTTTGTAAATTCGAGGAATCCCTGTACTGAGTTACCTCATTTTGTTTTCCTGACATTGTTTCCTCTGTCCTCGGTGTTTCTTCCTCTCTTGACACAGAAGAATTTCTTGGATCCTCTTCCTCCTCCTCCTTACAAGCTGTAGTCCAGGCAGAGGCTTTCCCCATCTTGGCCGCAGAAGCCGTTCCGACACTGGAGGCCTCGGTGGAGATGTGGGCCACGCTGAGCCCCACCCCGGTGGAGGCGACCCCCTCGGAAAGCAGCGAGAGCGTCTCCCTGGTGACTCGGATCACAAACCCCACCGCTGGGCCTGCCTCCCCCTTACGGACTGGAGCCCCACTTGCAGGAGCTGAGGGGGACGAGTCTCCGAAGCTGCAGGAAGCCAGCAGAGAGGAGCAGGGAAGCTCCTTGGCTAACGCAGGGGAGCCTCTGCAGCCTTCTCCACCTCCCCAGGAGGCCACGGCCTCTTCAGAGCAGCCTAAGCAGCGCGCAGAGAGCAAGTCAGCCAGCAGGACGGAGACTCCGCGAGAGGAGGCGCCTCTGGACTTGCGGCTCTTTGAGCTCAACTCGGACAGCGGGAAGTCCACACCATCCAATCACGGGAAGAAAGGTGAGTAGCTGGAAACCTTCCGCTTTTTCTAACCGTGTCTTAGTTGTGTGTGTGTGTGTAGTTCTCAACCTACGACCATAATGGAGCCTGCCCACCTCAGTTGCAAGTCATGATGGTCATAAAGTGGGTCGCCCACATGACTGAGCCAATTTTATAACCTTTTTTTATAGCGGTCATTAAGCAAATGCCGCGGTTCTTAAGCAAACCAACAGTTTGCTGTGGCCGGTTTTGCCGAAAACCAGAAATAAAAGCTGTTGCAAAGTCCGCTCATGCACCCGTGTGGCCTTGGGTGGTCCCAGGGGTGGTGGGGGCACTCGGGACCTGAGATCAGAGAAGACACAGACCGCCAATAGGGCGGGAAGGGATGTTGATAGAAGTGACAGTTGGAATTGTTTCAGTTCAAGATCCTTTTCAAGGATTCTGGCAAAATAGCCGGGCTGCTGCATTGAAGAAGGCTGCTTGTCAGCTGGTTTTCATGAATCCGACATCCGCTAATTGTGGTACGCTGCTTGCTAAATGTTCATTGTTAGATTTGAAAAGCCTGCTTGTGCAGCGGAGCATGTGTGGCGTTTCCTTTCCTGTTTCAGGCTCCAGCACAGATATAAGTGAGGACTGGGAAAAGGACTTTGACCTGGACATGACGGAAGAAGAGGTTCAGCTGGCACTTGCCAAAGTAGACGTTTCTGCGGCGGAGGTAAGCCCTCGGGATAGTCCGATGCAACTGAGGAAGTCCTGAGGAGAAGGGTAGCTTGCACAATACTTTCTCTTTGCTGGACCTTAGTTGAGCGGAACAAAACCCATTCGGCCTTCGACATGTGGATTACATAAAATCTCATTGAAGAACTTTTGGCTAGCACAGGCAACTCTTCCCCATTTTGGCCTGTTAATTTGAGGGTTTAGTTATATGTGGGAACGGCAAGAAGCAGCAGCATTTGGTCAGGGTTCCCATTTGACTGATAAGGAACTGAAGCTGGGAGTGTGCCAGATGACTCTCCTCTCAGACATGCAGAGAGAAATGTGATGTTGACGGCACTGTCCATATTTTCTCTGAGTTCTTGTCTCCGTTGATTATCTGACTGACCTTGATTGCAGCCTTCAAGGGATGTTCAAAAGAGATTTTGGGAAGTTCCCACGTGTTTCTGTTAACGAGGGATTGGAACTTTCTCTTTATGTTGGATATATTATTTTGCTAAATTGCTATTTCTGAAACTTTGCAACTTTAAGATGTGTTCCAGAATTTCCCAACCAATAATAATTTTTATAAAGGAAAGCAGCCATGTGCTAAAAGCAGTTCTTGGAATTTGCTTCTGGCACCCAAGAACATTGAATGTTAGCCAAAATTAGAGATACATATTTCAGAATTCTAAACAGTCCCGCCTGCCTCTCTCTTCCTGCTCCCTCTTTTAATTACAGGTGATTCAGCTATATTTGCCGATTCAGTCTGAGGTGTAGATGGCTTTTCCACTCTATCAGGGCGGTTTATATATGGTATATATTTCAATATAAAAGGGAGTTCAGTACAGATGGGAAAGAGTTTCAGATGAATGTGTGTATGTGTTCATCTAAAAGTCTTTTCCATTCATAGTGAGCTGCCTTTTATATTGTAATATACGCTCCTAGTAAACACTCTGATTGGGGGAATATCTTGAGCAGGCACAACATTGAAGCTAAAGTGTGGGCAAGATAAAATTACAATCTTTGTTTAAAAGTATCTTGGCTTGAATGTTAAGTTGGCCAACCAGTTTAACAACTAAAGTGCTTTAAATGACGATCCAATTTGGTACATTGTGGAATTCCTGTCAGGGTTTCCACTTGATCTCTTTGTAACCTCATGTCTAAAATGACGCCTTTGTTGAACACACCCTGTCTGTCTCTTTCTCTCTCCCGTTTGCAGATGGAAGACGAAGAATGGGAGAACTGGGAATAACGAGGGCTTTTGCTCTCCCTGGGCTCCTTGGACTCAGCCTTGCCCCCCCCCCCCCCCCACCCCCTGAACCACCCAGTGTGAATTAAATCACAGACCAACTGGTTCCTTTCTCTCCTGTAAAAGTGTTTTGGACTGGCTACACCTCATCTCTGCGCAAGTCCTCCTTGGGAACTTGAACTGGAACCCTGGCTCAGATCCCGATGGTGGCTAAGTTGTACAGAGGGGCTGAAGAGCAACAGCGCCAAGGGTGCGTGTGCTGGGGGTCTCTGTCTCCCCCGAGCAGAACGAATTTGATTTCATTCTCACTTCTTTTGGCATTTTAGAGTGGATTAGAATGGGATGGGATGAATTATCCCGGTTTGAGTGATCTTCAGAAATAATTGGGATTATTCTACCTGTCTCTTTTCAGTCTGATAGCTTGCTAGCTATGCCATATTATGTGTCTTGAAACCCACATAACTTCTAGGGATTTGCAGGAGCAAATCTTTGCTTACCTGTATGAACTCCAGTCTTAAGAAGAAGCTCCGAGGCATTTGTGGACCCTACAGACCCCTCTCCCAGCTCATAGTGCCTGGTTTGGAATTACCTTTTGCATAAATGAACCCATCTCTCTTCATGTACCCCCAAATGTAAGCTGGTCCATTTTTCCTGGGAAGTGAAGCACTTTTTCAAATGAAATTATTGTTCCGAGGCCTTCCTCGTTATGTAATCCCACGGAGTATCTTGCATAAGTTCCAGTTATGGAGGGGGAAAGAGGCACATTCCTCCTGGGTTGTCACAATCATGGCTAAGATCTCTTTGAAAGGGCCCCAATTTTTTTTTGGGGGGGGGGGGTTGCACATCCCTTGAGCCAGTGCTCTAGTGTTGCTTGGACTGAAGTATCCCTTGCCTCATTAAGAAGAGGCACCCTGGATTTTCCCGGAAGCATCTTCATTTGCCAAAGCTTCATAACCGTCTGTCTTCCCCTTGCATTGATCCTCTTCCATAGATAGAAATGCTTGGGAAGCAACATGCTTGGGTGAGAGTTTGATTGCTCCACTTCCTTATCCACCTTCTCTCTAAATAATCTGTACAGGCATCTTCTCTTTTTTTTAGGGAAAATGGGGGGGCAGAGTGGTGCTCCCCCCTTTTGGTCTGCTTGATTTAGTTGTTGCTGCATTGCAGTGGAGTCTGACTATAATTAGGTCTCACTTTAGAACTCATCATGCTTTTTTAAAAAAAATGGGTCCAAAAGGCAGATTTATCTTCTTGGAGTACAATACACCAACAGGTCTTTCTCAACACACCTAACTGAATTTGAATGGAACCGGTGGCGGCTCATTGAAGTGGGTCTGAAGCCAACACCTCTCCCTGGTGGGACAAGATCCCTGCTTTAACTCCTCTGGGAAGGACTCAGACCGGAGCCATCCCCCTCCTTTTGCCCCCAGTGCATCTGCATGACAGCAGCCGCCAGTAACCCTGACAGCTGCTCTGACCCTGCCCGGGCCACATCTCTCCCAAAGGGCCAGAGAGGGAGGAAGGAGTTGCCGCTGCTCCTCTCTTTCCTCTTTCTTGTTATAAGCAGCAGCTGAGAGAGGAAACCCCTTGAGAAGGGGAACATGGTGCCTGTGGAAGTTGTTTGGTCTCAGAGTCACTGAGGTGTTTCTGATAAGGTAAAAGACTGGCCTTTGGGGCTCCCCTGGGCCACCAGATCATGAAAATCAGCATCTGTCTGAAGGACAATTGACTTAGGAGTCATCCCTGAAACTAGGAGAAATTAAAGAGGGATTTCCAAATTGGTCATCTGTGGGAAATGTGAGCAAGGATGTGATTCGGCCAGCGGAAGGTGACTTCCTCTGCATGCAGGTGGCCGTGTGAAGTTGAAGGAGCGTGGACAGATGTGTGGCAATCCATGAACATGGCTTAGTCTGAAGAGCTGCTAGCCGCTCTGATTGAAAATGACAGCTGGGCTACTTGGCCAACTAAATGAAAGCTTGCAGTTCTGGAATAATTTAGTGCTTAAAAATGAAGATACTTGCATTGTACAAGGGCTAGTTTCATCACTCCTGGGAAAGCTGCTCTTTGGATATATCAAACTAAGCTTTCTGGATCAGGAGAATATTTGTCTTGAACTCTGGTGATTTCTCCTAAAGGGCTGAGCAGCTTCTAGTGAGGGTGTAAAGTGCATAAAGAGGCCCATCTGGACCAGGCCTCGTTACTGGATGGTCTAGACCAGGGGTAGGCAACCTTGCTGGCTCAGGAATTCTGGGAGTTGAGGTCCACGAGTCATAAAAGAGCCAAGGTTGCCTACCCCTGGTCCAGACTCTAGAACAGCTGATAGGTGACTATGTGAGGAAGATGATCCTTGGAAAAGCATCCCTCCTTCCTCGGCTCTAAGGGTTTGTGGTGATGGGACGGAATAGGGTAGCCTGGAGCAGTGGTTCTCCGCGTGAGCAACTTCTAAGGCTTGTGGGCTGGCTCCCTTGGATGAGACGGACAGCCCGAGATGCTTTGCCATCCATCCACAGGAAGGGGCCCCCATTTGTGGCAAGTTGCTGAGGTTGAGAAACGTTGCTCCAGAGTCCAGTCTTGGTGCCGGGAGACATCCTGGGGCTCCGGTTTCACCATAAGTACTCTGTTTTCTTTTTCTTGGTTGTGCAATATTATCTCACGTTTAAATTATATGGCATCTCCCTGGACTGTTTTCCAGCTGGGGTGAACAAGTGACTCTAACAGCTGTTAGTTTTGTAATTATGACCGCCTTTTACAGATTTGCCATTAATGGCAATTAAAGGAGTTCTACAGAAACAATTTCATATGGGTCTTGTGTTTTTTTTTTTTTTCATCCTCTGTAACCTTCTGAGCCAATACCTCGGGTGGCCTGGGCCCTTATTCTGTGCCAGACACAATGAGTGCAAGGAGCCTTGCCACAGTAGAACTTGGCAGTGCCCGGAGGATTTGATTGATAAGACACACTTGCTGATCAGCCAGCCAGAAGGCCAAGTCCAGTGAGGCTCATACACCCCAACCTGTCTCGCCAAGTTCATAAAGTGAAAGGTGTTGGACTCCAGCTCTCCCCCAAAGCCAGCCACGCCATTGGCTGTGCTGACGGAAGAGGGCAACATTGTGGGACCAAACCTCTAACAGGTGCTGCAGCTTTTCAGGAGCCTTGTTCCCTTGCTAGCGTCTGGGAGCTCTCCCAGTATATTAGAATTCAAACCACTTTGAATTTGAAATGCCCCATTCTGGGAAACAGGCTCTTTCGTTAATTGAGGGTGGTGTGTGTCTCAACCTCTAGTCTTTTCCTCTTGAAACCACTGATCCGTTCCCCACGTTTTCAAGATGGCCTGTTTTGCACTCAAAGTGGGGTTTCCAGTTTGATTCTTTTCAAATTCAAAACATTTTGTGTACTACAAAACGAATCCTGGAGAGGCCGTCACTTGTTGGAGCTCATATTTTGTATAGCTGAGCTCCAAGTTCAGTTCCTGGCAGTCTCCAGGTTCTTTATTTCTGTCTTGGGGCCTCAGAAAAGGTCTGTCTTAGAACATACCACATCCTCCTCAGTTATTCATCCCAAGATATGTGGAAACTTTGGCTAGGAATTCTGAGATGGGTCATTTTGACCCCTCCAGAAGGCACCAGGTTGGGAACAGGGTGTTCTAGCAGCTCATTTGGATTATAATGCTAGACGGATCAGTACGTTGGCTTGGTGCATGACAGCACCTCCTTCCCTTTTCCAGCTGGGATGTTCTGGAGACCAATGGATGGATGATGTGCTATTGAAGAACGGCCAAGGAGGAATCCTATGGGAGATTTCTTAGATTTAACATTGCAAAGTGATTCTGCGTGTCTGAGAAAAAATTCAGCAAGGAAACACCTTCACTCTATTTTCCTTGGTCTTTGACTAATTTCTAACCACCTGCGCAGTCATCTCTGAACAAGGGAATGCAGTTCCTGATGAGAGGGGAATGTTTAAAATGCCTCTCTTCTCAGGGTGGATTAAGGATAGACTAGAAACTGAGATAACGTTAAAATATATGTGAGCATTTTGGAAACAGCCTGTCCCCTTTTATTTGGGGAGAATTTCGACACGGTCCCATCCTCAGGAACTTGCTAACCATGGGTGCCAACTCACTTCTTCGATGGAAGGCCTCAGGATCATGTCTGGTTCCAGGAGGCTTTTGAGAAGATCCTGGCATTCCTCAGAGATCCCCAAGTGGCCGGGGATGGAGACCCCTTTCTGTTGATGGCAAAGCATCTTGGGAATGTCTGTGTCGTCAAAGGGCAGGTTGGCACAAAGCATGACGTAAAGGACCACGCCCATGCTCCACACGTCGCCTTTCCTGCTGTCGTGGGGCACCCCCTGCAGCACCTCGGGGGCTGCGTAGGCTGTGCTGCCACAGAAGGTCTGGCTCAGCTCCTTGCGGTTCTTGGGGAGCAACTTGGCAAATCCAAAGTCTGTCAGTTTCAGGTTGAGCCCCTGCAGGAGGGCATTTTCACACTTGAGGTCACGATGCGCTACCCCACAGCTGTGGCAATAGCGGATGGCTTCTACCATCTGACGGAAGAGCGCTTTGGCCCGGCTCTCGGGCAGGGGTCCTCCTTGCAGGACACAGTCAAAGACATCGCCGTTCTCTGCCAGCTCCATCACCAGGTAGATCTTTCCATCTGTGGACTCCAGCATCTCATACACCCGAATGATGTTCTTGTGGTCTAGGCGCTTGACAATCTGGAGCTCTCGAGGCAGGAATCTCTCGATAAACTCTGAGGAGGCAAAAGACAGAATTGGCCAAAGTCTGAAGACAATCGCTGATGAGAGACGAACACGCTCCTTGCAACATTCCTGGCTCCCAACATCATAATTTCCCTTGAGAGGGAAAATGGGTTTTTTCTGATGATGCTAGAAACATTTTTCTCATATTATGTTGATTCGTCCAGGATCCTGGACCTAAATCCTGACTAAAAGTACAACATGGCATCCCAGTGCTGTTCAGCTAAAGCACCCGGACAAGCCTATGGGGAGTGGGGCATTTAGGGAACAGAGGTTCT